AAACAAAAATGTTTCAAAAAAAAAAACATCAAATATACAGCTGTAAATATAAAAAAGTGAATTATTTACAGTAACGCAATTTTGTTCTGTTGTTGAAATKGTACATTTAAAATCTGAGGTGTTATTGAAAAACCCATCAATACATTTGATATATTTCCTTAAAGTGTTGACAGAATCCAGTGAATATAAATGACAGTCTAAATTGTAAACATTTAATCATCAATCAATTTTTTATTAGCTATTTTYAGGGCTAGGATTTATAATTTATATGTTTTGATATGTTTTTTTCTCGCATTTTCTAATTACTGATATTGTCAGTATTTGATTTTTTTTTTTTAATACATATAAATCATAGCCCTAGTTAGGTAATATTTGTTATATTATATATTACTTACAACTTGGAAGCAATTTATTATAAACCAAATGAAATAATGMTAAATATATTGATATATGATTTCGATGGCCACTAACACCATAACTGTCAAATGTCAAAACAGTATCAATTTCTAATTGTTCTACGTGCTCCACAATCTTATCAGACAATAAGACTGTGTCCCAGTCTACACGTGGATTGTCCGGAAGCAATGTRTTTCTGAAATCAATCACAAGTAGTAACAACAATACCTGAAGGTGGTCAATAACAATAATAATTTACTTGCACAACAGTATATTGCCCTCTTCAATGCCCAATATCTTGCAGCTGTCGTAAAGTTCAGCTTTGCGCAGCGAGCCTTTACCTTCAAAGTCACCTGAAATGCATTATTGACAACCTAWTGAGAACTGTCATAAGGCGTTAGCACCGCCATTGCCTTATTAGTTATTACCAACAGACAGACACATCAAGAAAAGGTGTACGTCTTTCATTTTTGACAGCTTCTGTATGACCGGACCAAAAAACATACACTCATCGTCAGGATGTGCGGTGATCAATAGCACTCTGTGCGGTGTGTTCTCCAACTCAAGCATTTTCTGCCTGCGTGAAGCCCGCAAACACGTCCAGACGTATCCAACGACGAGGACCGACGCCGTCATCAGCATAGCCGAACTCAGGTCTACGACTTCGAAAACGTTTTGATGGAATATTTTATACAACATTTTATACAACACTTAAGAGAGTGGATAGGATCGATACGTTGATGTTGAACAGTAAAAAAGAAGTTTAGTCGGTACTTAAAACTGTTCACTACTAAGTGGGCACAATTATAGCTGTGCACAACGAGTGGGTAAGTAAAAATTWYGAATTCCCATGATCCAACGATCAGTGGACACGGTGAGAGCAGACCACAGACGAAAGTACAAAATGGCAGTGAAGCAAGAGCAGAGTGTCAGATTTTTCAGAACTTGAACGTTCTAAACTTCTWAACTAAAACACTATCTACACTAGAGATAACACGGTTTCTTATCAGCATTGTCAATTTTTTTTGTTTTGATTATTCGACTTTCATATTCTTCCGGCCAGTTCACGTTAAATCACTACAATTTACACAGTGGCCACAGCACGGCCTGTTGGTCTAGGGGTATGATTCTCGCTTCGGGTGCGAGAGGTCCCGGGTTCAAATCCCGGACAGGCCCGCAATTTTTTACAATTTTCTCTWTACCCCTTTTAACCCATTTGATGAGGAGGTGAATCAAAAAAGCACCCATCCGCCGTTTTTGAAAACAAACGATGACATTTTTCCATCATTATCCTGTATCCGATCAATCTCATATTATGAAAGGTACATCATATTATTATGTAATCAACGGCAACCGTCGCACTAATACCGTTGAAAAAAATTCCGGAATTTTCCAATTTTTCTTTCCGCTTCATCGGGAATGATGAGACATTTTTTCGAAAACAATGAGCCAATCCGGTCCAGCCGTTCTCGATTACCAAAGCGGTTAACCAACAGATTTTTTATTATATGAGATGAGATAAGAACTTATTTTGATGTTGATAAAAATTCTAATATTGTTTACCAACGTTTAAATG